CAGTTACATCATGGCTAGACAGTGTGTAGGTTGTGAGAATAATTATTTCGATTTCACTGCGAAATATCAACAAAATAACGAAGCAAGCTTACTAAATCTACATCACGGTGTACTGCCAGTGGAAGTACAATGCCCGCACTGTAAGACATCGTGTCATTACAGAAATGACCGACACCAGTGGGTTTGTGGTGCATGGAAAAGGTTAAAAAACAAAACGAAGAAAGCAGTGTAACTTTGCTGTAAGCGAACGCAATTCCCGCCAACAACGACCTGGAATACACCGACGATCCCAGTGACCCGCAGCCTGGTCCAGCTAGAGTTAAGACTGAAGGTAAGAAGAGGTTAAAACTGTTGCTGGATCTCGGCTCTTTCCTGCCGGAACATACGAGGTAAAGATTTTGCAGAATAGGCGGGGTGGGGGGTGGAGGGGCGCAGCCCTCCTGAAAGGGGGTCTTAGGGGGCAGAGCCCCCTATACAACCCTGAAATGTGGTAATATACTATGCTCACTAGTATTCTACCGATATTTCTCGAAATTCCCTGATATGTAGGCCTATCATGCTCTCCCCAGCTAGCGAGACCGATATCGTAGTTATGCTTCGTTTGCGAAGGAAATGAGTGCTAGATTCGTTCGAAACACGACGAGAGCTATTGGAAAATATTTCTATTCACCCGAAAAATGGTGTGGGGTTGCATTNAGGGGGAGGGAGAGGGAGAGGAAGGGGAGGAGGGAGAGAGAGAGGGAGAGGGGGGAGAAGAGAGAGAGAGGGAGAGAAAGGGGAGGAGGGAGAGAGAGAAGGAAAGGATAGGCAAGGGAGGAGGAAGGGAGAGAGAGAGAAGTAGGGAATGAGAAAGGGAAAGAAAGAAAAAAGTGGAAAGCAAGGAGGGAAAGAGAACTAACTGACAGACACGAAGGAGCAAGTAATAAGAAGGAAAGAACGATAATAAAAAATTCTGTCAAAGGGAATGTTGTTGACGAAACATGACAAGAAGTATCTGAATCTTAACATTTTCTTTCTGTTTTTATGTCTCCTTCGTTCCTCCCCTTCTCTTTCCTTCCTCCTCATTCCCTCTCTTCTTCTCTCCTATTCTTCCCCCAGTCCTTCCTTCCCTCCCTCCTTCGCTCCCTCCCTTCTTCCTTCACTCTCTCCCTCTTCCCATCCTTTCCTTCCTCTCTTCCTCCCTCCATCCCTCTCTATTTTTTCTATCTTCCTTTTCATCCCCTCCATCTATCCTTTCATCCTTCCCTCCCTATCCCCCTCCCTCTATCCCTCCCTCCCTCAAACCTTCCCTCCCTCCCCCTTTCCCTACTTTTTCATCAAAATAAACGAAAGTTGTTTTAAAAATATATGTCAGTAAAGACAAATAAACAAAAACAAATAAAAAATTTTTTTGTTCAATAGAAAGGAATAAAATTCTTATATAACATGAAAGTAGATATGAAATATAATCTAATATAATCTATCATTAAATATCATATTATATAAATAGCATATATAGTGTATACATATTGTGTATCATATATGTACTCTCTCTCTCTCTCTCTCTCTCTCTCCCTTCCTCCCTCCCCCCCTCTCTCTCTCTATATATCCAACTATCTCCCTCTCTCTCTCTCTCTCTCTCTCTCTCTCTCCCTTCCTCCCTCCCCCCCTCTCTCTCTCTATATATCCAACTATCTCCCTCTCTCTCTCTCTCTCTCTCTCTCCCTTCCTCCCTCCCCCCCTCTCTCTCTCTATTTATCCATCTATCTCCCTCTCTCTCTCTCTCTCTCTCTCTCTCTCTCTCCCTTCCTCCCTCCCCCCCTCTCTCTCTCTATATATCCAACTATCTCCCTCTCTCTCTCTCTCTCTCTCTCTCCCTTCCTCCCTCCCCCCCTCTCTCTCTCTATTTATCCATCTATCTCCCTCTCTCTCTCTCTCTCTCTCTCTCCCTTCCTCCCTCCCCCCCTCTCTCTCTCTATTTATCCATCTATCTCCCTCTCTCTCTCTCTCTCTCCCTTGTACCCTTCGCCTCATTCACAGCAAGAGGTACCGTTATACACTCTCACACACACTCCCTTACACACCCGTCGGCCCCACCTGTCACCCGCACATCTGCCCGGCCCTTGGAACAGCTGTGCCGCGCGGGGGGGGGGAGGGGGGAGTGAGCTTCGGTGCAACACACATGCACTTCGCAGGTGTTCGCTCGACCCCCAATGGTCAGTCCGTGAGGAACGGTTCACCCACCAACAGCCGCCTTACGCCCGCACACCCACGTGTCGCTCGTTCAGAGAGGGGGGGAAGGCGGTTCTCGGAATGATAAAAATAATAAAAAAAAATAGACAATAACAGGTGATTCGTTCATCATCGGCGGAGGGGAATACAAGTGCACGCCGTACAGGTGTTCATCTAGATAGCTCATGCACGCACGCACGCCCTCGCCACGCCTCCTCTCTACGCCTCGCGACTCATCTCGACGCCCGCGACTCACCGGGACTCACGACTCACGCCCACGCCCACGCCT